GCAACTCGCATGAAAAAACGTAGGACCGGGTAAATAATTAATCCGTCGATTATTCGGTTTTCGTCTTCGCCGTCGATATATACTTTTGTATTCTGCATGTAAAAATTACATGTGAAATTATTGCATTTGTATAGAGTATTTAAAAATACAACCGAGGTAATATTTAAGGAGGTATAGGCAACCTGCCCAAAGAAACCCACGATACATTGCTGGCATTGGAATTTATTCTCAGTTATCTATCTGAGTTATATTTTATTAATATTATGCATTGATATTTCCAAAATATTGACCGGCAATATTATAGCAATATTATGATTGCAACGTGCTGAGCGGACATTGCAAGGTTCCTGCAACATTCTAGAAATATTTAAACAATTTTCAATATATTTCCGGTAATATTGCATTATTTCAAGGGAAACTTTTGGCAATGTTGACAAAATATTTCTGTGCTGTGTGGGAGCAGCCTTTTAATATCACTTGAATAGTTATTATTTGGATGGTAAGAAGCACTATCAAAATGTTCACTACAAACTCGACCATTTTGAGGAACATTTGAAATTCCTATTACAGACATCCATTTCTCTCTTTGACCAGAATTTTTTGGAAAGCTGCAAAATACGATGTAAACTTTATGAATTAGGAAATAAGGATCTTATACAAATTTGGTTGTAAACATTGCATAAGTATAACCTCACATTTAGTTATGCTACATTCTTCATAATAGATATTATTTGATATTATTATAAGTCAATAATTTCATTATACGTTGTATATCTTTTGCATATTTCCATTCATAAACAATTATGAATATGATATTTAACCCATTAACGCCGAGGTGATCAGAATTTTTACTAACTTTTCAACGTGTTTATTTATTATGTTATCGGACCAAAAAAATAATGCAATAACACTATTCCTACGCGAAATTTGATGCTCTTTCAGAATCTGTGCTCAAAATTTCGATTAGACACCGAGAAAAAAAAATATAGCCGATTTAAACGTGAAAAACGTGAAAATTTTCGACAAAAACTTTTTTTCGCATTTTTTTTCACAATGATAACGCAAAGGTATCAACTTTTTACTATGATCAGAGGTGATCATGGCACTCGAACATTAAGAGGAATTTTTTTCAGAAAAATTCATCAATGCGTTTTTTCAAAATGGCGGCGAGAATGAAAAAATTTTATAAAAATCTTAATCTTTTGTTTTCTTAAAAACTATAAACTTTTTAAAAAAATTTCTAAGAACAAAAATGTCTTAAAATTAGTCAAATAACACTCTCAAATTTTTTCAGAATTTTTGGAGACAATTTTTGATTTTTGAAAATTTCAAAAAATCCAATTTTTCAAAAATACCTAAAAAATGCAATCTATATATATGCAATAATTGTTGGGCAAAAAAGCCCTGATAAAAGAAAGTTTAAAGTGAGAGGCAAGGGGACTCACGAAAAAAAAAGCACCCCAAAGGAGACAAAGTTCTACCACGTCCACGCCGTTGTCTCTGGGTAATGCTAAGAGTAGAAAAAAACAATGTATATGTACAGAATCAGCAAGGAAGTAGTCAAGGAATCCTCTCAAATTTTTTCAAAAATTTTTTAGGTATTTTTGAAAAATTGGATTTTTTGAAATTTTCAAAAATCAAAAATTGTCTCCAAAAATTCTGAAAAAATTTAACAGTGTTATTTGACTAATTTTAAGACATTTTTGTTCTTAGAAATTTTTTTAAAAAGTTTATAGTTATCAATGAAAGCTGCATGAACGGTCTCCGAAAACATACTGCTTTTTGCATATCACACAGTACTTCGACATTTTACCTCAAAATTATGTATTTACATATTAATATGTCTACATATTTAATAATATTTTAGCACATCACTTTTATATAAACACTTTTTTCCATAAATTTTCAAGATTTATTTTTGTGAAGCTTGGGAGCTAAAAGCGTTGAGTGTAGATAGGTATAGAGGTGCGGAGGACGTGGTGGGGGCAGAGATGAGTGGGGAGATGTACAACGCTCCGGTTTTAGGCGATACCAAAAGCATGGCGCTAAATCGTTGCGGCGAGTCCGGGAGTAGGATTTCGTGATCATCGCCTCTGTCGATGTTACAGATTTCGCGTAGCCGCGCGGGTCATGATCATCGTTCCAGCCGATATTGCAGTCAGCGAAAATGAATGGATTGCTCGGTGGTGGGGAAAAAGTTGCCGCCCCTCACAAACCGTTCTTGACAAACAGGCGGAACAACAAGGTCTTCCGTCCAACCGAACCCTAAACGTTTGTTTTGGACGTCATGCGCAAACAAATGTGTATATCCAAATAAATTTCAAAGTTATAAAAAATGCATAGAAATATTGGTTTTCACTCTTTACCTCTTATCATGCCGAAAATGAACATTAAAAAATGAATGGCGAAATTCGTTGGTAATTGAAACGACGGAGAACAGTTCAAAGAGAAATTTTGAAATATCATAGATAAATATATATAGAAAATTTAATTTAGAATTAAACGAGCATCGTAGCTGAGTCAATAACCTGTCAAGGTTCCTTTCTTTGAACTTTTCTAGGTTGCCCATAGTTTATTTTATTCTCTTTTGTTCGCCCACGTGGAAAAGGGTGGCGCGAAAGTTCTTAACTGGAGTGCATCTTCATATTATTCTGCTTATATGTAA